CCCGGACTTGCTATCAGACAGTCATCAACATATGCATCTGCGAAGTTGAGATCTCGGAAGACGTCATCTATGAACCTATGGAAGGTTTGAGCAGCTTTCCTTAGACCGAAAGGCATTCGTAAAAATTCGTAGAGTCCGAAGAGAGTTATGATAGCTATTTTTGGAATATCGTCATCAGCCATTGGGATTTGGTTATAAGCTTTAACCAAGTCGATTTTCGAAAAGACAGTTACACCTCTCAAGGTAGCTGTCAAATTGTGACTGTGAGGCAACGGGTGACTATCGGTAATGGTTTTAACATTCGGACGTCGATAATCGCCAGTTGAACGCCAATCGTAGCTGTCATTTTTAGGGACCAGGCGCAAAGGAGATGACCATGAGCAACTTGACTGTCGAATGATTCCTGAGGCCGAAAAGGCATTAGATGAATCGAGGGTGGGGGCATAGTCTTTAACTTAAATACTTTGGGTGTCTGCTCCGTCATAGTGCGAAGTCAAGTATTATAATGAACGAGAAATAAATAATTAAAATATATTCGAAAACTCGAAAAAATATCACAATACATAAAAGTCAAATGAAGCAAAACAATGATTTATGAAGTTCCAAATAGGAACAGACTCACATTTTATCGTTTGGTGTACCAGACCACGTCGTGCTCACCACGGAAGATACCACTAGTACTGTAGTTTGACAACTCTTTACCAGTAACACTTTCTATGATCGAATCGCTTCCACTCAGTTAAAATCAGAGGCGAGGAGGTTGGAAGATACATTTCATGGTTTATCAATGTATCGAAAAGTGACTAATCTAATCTGGCTAATGATCGTATGAAATGTTTCCCACGCTATTCTGCAACGTGATCTGGTACGGATGCATGACCGAGCGCCTTCAGCTAAACAAGTCCACTAAAACTAATGTGGTCAGCATCCAATGTCGAACACTTACAGAGCTATTGGTTTCGGGGAATTATTTACAGCCACAAGATAAAGCCCTTGTACACATAAATTAAGGCATATGATATTGTTGTGATTAAAAAATAATATTACCGGAATATAAAAAGCTCCACATATCTGAGAGATAGGTTGCTATTATATTTTGTAAAATACTTGAATTTACCCAACAAATGTTGTAAACCAAACTTTCGGTAAGTTAGTACATACTCTCATCGCTGAGATTATAGGGATGTATCAAGTATATGATAATAAGGCTGTTTGATAAACGTTAGTTAGGAGCACTACCAATGATGTAGCTCCTCATTGATGCTTATAATTCAACTATCTATAATCGTATTCCAAGTGCCCAAACATAAATGTTAAAATGAAACTTCTATAAGTATTTAAACCGATTACTGGGCTTATTGAAATATCCTAAGTTAGTGCATTTTTAATCCTTAATCATCTGCAGTTCCAAAAATTGGATTTAAGTGTTACTGTATGTTTCACGCTCGATTTTATCTGCCAATTTGTTGGATTTTCTGTTGTCCCGTTAAAGGTGTAGGTCTGATAGTGTACATTGAAGGTTTAACTGTATCAAACAAATCTGGTAAAAACTAACAAGTGGAAATCACTTAAAAGTTGCCAATATCAGGCTCGTTCAAAGCCCACTCTTATGAAGTTCAGTAGAATGGTTCTTGAATGTGTGAGATTAGGACAATCATATATTTTCCTGGTGTGTTTTTGGTGAAATCCAACTGGTAGATTTTTAATGAGTACGACTCTGTAAAAATAAACGGATTGGTGACACTTATTTTTGCAGTGACTCAATAATCCTATTCATAATTAATACTTATGCTAACATAATGATTATCTCACATGTTATGTATTGTCGCATATTAATAAAAACTTGCTAAATTAATAACTGTTGTTTTTGTTGGTTGATGTCTAAAGACTAGGGAATATTTGAACTCAAATGTATCAATAAAAAAGCAGTGTGTTTAAAGACGTTAAGAAAAATTACTTTGGTGAATAATAATAAGTCACCAGGACCAATCCTTCAACATAGTTTTCTGAATGAATGCTACCTGGTGTTGGTCAAGCGTATTCAATCTAAAAACCATCCGGAAACTTATAGCACAACTGGCTTTAACTAGAAAGCGTTTGGAAACCCTAATGGAAATAGGTGACGGTGTAGTGTATGCTACTTATGCTGACAGATATGAGTAGTAGGTATCAGCGTTCGGAAGTAGGACAATTGCCTGCAGAAGATTGAATTAAAGAGAACAGAAAGGGAAACAGAGTGCACTTGTAGTAGCAACAGAATTGGAAGAATCGCAAAGCATGTAAAAGGAAACTGAAGGAAGATGTGCAAATAATGTGTTTGATTTATAGTCGGCCCCTTGTACCAATATTTTTGTGTCCCATACATCTCAATAAATAAACCATTGGTAGATGTCATTCACCTCTGTTTTCTGAAGTGAAGAATATTACAGCTCCTCGATGATCAGCATCCCACCACTGCAATTAGCTGATAAAGTAGACTCTGGGTAATGGAAGGATTTGACATCCATGAGCTCCTTTCGTTTCAAGGGTATTTAGACCTACTTATTGATCTACATATGATAAAATGAAAACAACCTATAGCTTCATGAAACGGAAACCTCAGGGATTAATACACACTTTCTGCCTGAAGACAGTACACAAGTAGCACACGAGAATCGGAAAAACACTTTGTGAACATAAATCAAATAAAATTAGGTACAATTTTCAGCTGCCATATAAAAGATCAGTCTACAAATTCTTTCAATAATTATCATTGCCGACCAATCCCTAATTTAATTTACTAAGTTAGAAACAACCACGGGCTAATTATTGCAAGAAGTTGAATGACTGTCGAGAGGTTGGAACAGCTTACTGGTATAGTTATGTGGGAAAACTATATTTAAGGTGACAAATTAGTCGAAGTTTTAAGAGTTTTTATTTTAAAGATAATTCTGACGAAGTTTTTACAATCCATATTTTTTACATTCACAATGTTATTATCTCCAACTACATGGTATTACCTATATTAAAAGTTCTTACTTAATTTAACAATCGAAATTACTAATTTTGATGAAAATTCCCATTTTGACATTTGATAAATAAAAAGAACAGATCGAGCGAAGAAATTCCTTTTGATGAAGTTACATGACTGTTGACATTCACGTAAATATTGTTTGTTAAATATTCTCTCCACCAAATTTGGTAGTGAAATCATAACCTTGCAAAGGCACTGATACAACGTAGTTTATAGTACCGTGATGAATTTTTTAAATACTTATCTCTAATTTATCACTCTGATGATCAAGATGTTTAAACAAATATGCCGAGAGTTCACACTAAGTAAACTTGACAAAACTTCAAAGAAAATCTATAGTCATCTAGAAACTGAACATTAAAAGAAGACAGGATAATTGTGTTGTTAACACTTCTAGAGTATTCATCTTCCTTTCTTATCAATTAAAACACTACTTAGGCTTTCTAATTTGAGGGTTATCTGACAAGAACTCCAGGAGAATTGGGTTAACACGTGAATATTTTCGAGGTTCGACAACAACAAGCGTATCTATGTCATTACTAACGTAGGACCGGCAACGAATCAAGTCTAAGTTATTATAATTCAAATCACTAAGAGAAGAGGCAGTCAAAAGGGTAAGAAGTACAGAATAAAATCAAAAGTAATCAAAGCATAAGACAATCGCAAAGACACAAATGAGTTCGAAAGGTGGACATCTAAGGATGATGCTTACTTAAAATTTGAAGATAGAGAGTGCATGCAACTGCACCAGTTTAATCGTTTTCAAGCCATGTTACACATAATCTTTAATTTTCAAATGAACAACCAAGACAACATACAAACTGTTACTCAGTAATGGACAGCCACTCATCATCTAGTTAGATTCAATGGAAAATATTAGCGCATAACGAGAGAAAGCACACTAACCCAGTAGTTTTTAGAGGACCAGAAGTTAACTTCACCGAAGCCCTAAGGCATAACAGCACACTTCTATTTTATTATCTTCAACCTTCTCAAATGAAGGCATTCGTAGAGGCAGAGACGGAAACTCTTATTGAGATATATATCGCAAGGTTGATTGGAGTCGATTTCTATGAGAAAAATAGCCATCAAGCAATAGCCGCATTACGATAAGTAATAATATAAATATTAGGCTTAATATGTTCATCTTGATTGGGTAAACGATAACATAACTTGACTAGTGTCGATTCCAAAGTTTTGTGGTTTCCGTTACCCTACTTTATTTCCACGGTATTCTAATCACTTACCTAATTAGTCATAGACTACTACTTCCATATCGAAATATTGAGGATGTTAGACTTTATGTCGTACCCTTCTGACTGAAATATTTACGATGAATATATAAGGAAAAATAGTGGCTATAGCCAGGGGTCAAACATAGAATGAGACAAGCACATAAGCAGCATAAAATTACCATGTTGGTGAACCTCGTTGTGCATTGACCCAACTAGTTTTAATACTTCAACATACAACTTCCTGTAGCATAAACTTTAGAACATTATTCAGTAACTGGAAAAATTTCAACTTCAACTAGGTTCCTAGACACGGACAGTTTGAAGATATTATACTTTTTTAACCTAGGACTGCCCTGACACTCGCACATTATTCGTGAGTCAGACAATTATCTCACGAAATCGCACCCTATCCGCAGTCACTCCTGATCCATGGGAGGGTGCATCAGCTACAGTAGTGTTGTTACAGGTATGAGGACCGTTACACTTCACGGTTGCCCACATTATGGAAAGGCTTTCTTAGTGGCACCTGTAAGGGGAATCGGGTTACAGTTGGTCTTGGTGACCGCAGTGCCCAAAGGACAACCGTTAAAGGCTGGTTACACAAGACCATTTTGTGAGCAGTTTCCGTGTCCGCCCCGTACTTGTTGGGACCTTACGGACGGCAATCCATGGGATAAGGCGAGGCGTGCATTCCTGGCGTCGAGTTTTTCTAACATTGACTATTCTTGTGGGAAGGGGAGAAAAATTACTGCCGTCACACCCCTGTACAGTCAGCATGACGACCCCCCCCACTCAGACGAGTTTGTTAATTTGGACGCTACTGCTCAACTGTGTCTGACACAGTAGGACTTTGAGGAATGGTTGTCCCAGCTACTTTGTCTCGACTGATTCTTTACGATAAGCAAGTCCGACCAGCACGCCAAAATAGAGGCAACGGTCGTGGGAGGGCACACATCTTGATTCACTGCTGAAAACCTAATAAACTGGATACTAATGAAAACGACACCTACGAGTTGTCCCCGCTAGCTAGATTTAATAATAGATGAATCGACAGCAATATTAATAGATCGTCCCAATTCACTAGTATGAAACGATGAACAAAAACATTCAGGACACAAAGTATTGTGTAGCTAATTGTAATTATCAACCTTTTAGACGAGCCGCAGAAGAACCACGACTGTACAGTAATGAGTATTATGAACAGTAACCACTGTGGGGATTTAAGGCAAAAGCGTCCTCTAAAATTGTAGGGAAAAATTTGAATCACAAATTACTTCAAGACGACAAACTAAAGCTCGTGATGGTGGAAAGGACAAGTACCCCGGACTTGACATACTGACCTTATGCGATCCACTTAAAGTTCGTACCTTGTGGCTGTTAATCCATCGGCGCTCTGTATCATCAGCAAACTCATACTGCCAACATACAATCGGAGTGACCCTGATAACATCCTTGGACAAATACGCTAACCGGGAGGCAGTTTTATTTGAAACTGAATTTTAAACTAAGTTAACAAGACGTGTCAATTTCAACAGTCCGAATTAATCGAACACAGTGATAGTAGTATAATGCTGTTTGTACCTCCGTACAATATGTTGGTTAGTAAGCAACTACACCGTCTAAGACATTCCTACCTGGAAAATATTAGTTGAGGACACACTTCATGGAGCTAATGAAAAATGTTGCTAGAACAGGGATCTATTTTAGAGACGTCACCCTACATCGTGTATAATAACTAACCGTTCAAGAGATACTATATATCAACTTCGGCACGAAAACTGCAAACACACTGGCCTTTGAAACGTGAAAGAGAGGTTAGCATTCTTCAGTTTATATCCGTAGTTGGTTAATCAATAACACTAATGCTAAAAACACTTTCAGAACTCGAAATTTCCATACTATGAAACGTTTGCTTTTTAAGACAACCCAACCAATGAATACGGGACCACGTATAACAATCAATAAATAATAAGCATTATTATTTAAGATACCGGCCTTCGAATATAAGTAGAGCAGGTAGGTTGTGCATACAATTAACTTGAAACAACAGTACAGCCTGATGAGTAAATCACTAGTTTACAGCAAGTTTAGATACAAGGTGAACCCAATCTATTGATATTGTGTAATAAAAAAACGATTTCTACCATAATTTTATTGTAGGAAATCACAATCATGCGGCAACCTTCGTGCGTCCTAGACTCTTCTTCAAAGGACCCTAAAAGTACCAAGTTTATACACGGATATTTCGAAAAACCTACCATAGTAGCCTGTTTTTCTGCACGAGTCTGGAACCGACCATGACCAAACTTGGATGATGTATCAATAAATTTAAGAACAATCTTCTCCCTTGATCGTGGCTTAACCTGAGGTATTAATGTTTTCCTAAGGGTTATGACACGCTTTCTAGGACCCATACAACAACCCTTGATCATAACATAATCGTTTCTGACTTCACCGTAATGTGGGAAACCACCCATAGGTGTGATGTTTTTAGCCGTTAAGTCGAACTCCGTCGACGCATTGCCTTTAGGTTTTGGTACTGCGTTTTTATCATTATCATCTTTAGAGGCTTCTGCCTTCGCAACCTCTAACTGAGCTTGCAAACCTACCAGAACTAATGAAATAATCAAAACTTACCCATCCCAATCTTGTAGATCTTCTTGTTTAGCTCCGTTCTGTGGAAGTAGCCCTTTTGACCAGCCCTAGCAACTGATCTTGCAACACGTGCAGGATGCCACGCTCCAATACAAGCCACTTTACGCAAACCTTTGTGCGTTTTACGAGGAAGCTTTTTGGTGTGCCAGCGAGAAGTGACGCCTTTAAAACCTTTACCCTTGGTGACACCTATAACATCAATCATTTCATCTTGCGAAAACACGTTTGAAACAGATATCTGCTTCTCGAAATGTTGACGAATCCAATCGACTTTCTGTGACACAGTCCCACCGTTTACTTGTATTTCCATGATATGTGACTTTTTTTGACGATGTTTCATCAGGCGCATCTAATAACGTCTAATGAGTATTCATTATTTTTACCTGTGTGTGTGCAATCGCTCGAACAACTGTACAGTACTTTTTGATTTTTTTCAGATCACGTTTAATCTGAGCAAGACCCGCTTCACATAACCATTTCTTGGAGGATTTAAGGAAAGCTCTTTTCTTAGACTTGCACCAGTCCTTGTAGAACCGACGTTTGAATTCTTCAGTAAGATGTTCTGCCCATACAGTTTTAAAAGTCCTTAAACCCTTGGCGGTTGGTGCGTACCCGACCATCCCAACGATTACCATAGGTGGGCATTCCATTATAGTTACTGGCTCGACAACCTCACGCTTGTGAACCTTGGATCCAGGTCGGTCAACTTCACGAACAATGTGAGTCATTCCTGCTTTATATCCCATGAAAGCAGTCAGATGAGGTGGGAGAGATCTTCTGTCTCGCGGGAATGCCTTGCATTTTCCTCGGATGCGTCGACAACGCTTTTTAGGTGTAAATCCGAGAGAACCGTGACGCGGAGCAGAGAATTTCCTGTGTGACTACAAAATGATGAGCATACGACAACAATCAACTTACCATGTTCTGAACACGCTAACTGTGGGCGCCAATCAGCATACAAAAACACAGCTGTACAAAATTAAATTTTGTTCAATGCATTCACAAATGGGCTTCTGAACCTAAGAACTTTGATAGTTTTGGAGATATTATGTCAGTTATCCTAAATTCTTGCGATTTTGAAAGCACCCTTCTTAAACAAATGGCTTGTCTTTAACTGTTGTGTGCTCTAATGTGCATTTGAAATACTTTAGTCCGGAACCTTTACTTAAACTACACATGCTTGAGTTAGCCTTGGCTTATCGTTGTTTGGCCATTGATATGGAAGATGAAATGAGTAACTATATTGTTACTTATTTCGATTGTGTCTTATTTAACCACAATCATGCAGCATTGTAACCAGTAAAATTTTAATAACATGAACTGTTTGTTAACTCCATTTATCACTGTGACTTAAACGACGTTTTAGTAGGCCGGTTTAGTTCATAGTCTTTTACTAAGAGATGTATAATCTTATAAGAATTTGATGAGTCCAAATAGAAATTCGAAGAACTAGGAATTAGGCTATGATACATTACTTTCGAACAAAGCTAATAGTTGTCGAATGCTGGAATTCGCTGCCGACTGAGTTGGTCCAAGAGGCTTCCCAAGAGTCCTTCAAGAGAAAGTTTGACCTATTCTTAAAGACTAAGGATAACGTCTTACTATGATTCACCAGTTTCTTTTTTCCTCTATTATCGTTAATATACCTAGGCTCTTGCCTGGAGGTATTTGTGATCCCCACTGAAGCCTGTTAAGCGAAAGCTTCTTCTATTCTGTTGACAACCATTTGGACCATTCGAAGAATTTGGATAATATTACAGCACATTCGGTGCATCATGTGAAGAGTGTAAAAAGCAGTGAGCTCATCTTAAAAACGATGCCCAGGTCCCCTGAATGTTCCGAAATTCAGCGATGTGATTAAATGGTTATTTCAACAGTTGCTCCTATCAATGCCATATTATGTATTAAGGGTATTTATTAAGAAGTCTATATGCCTTCAGTCTTTAATACATTTGTTCGTCAAACCAGCATCTCTTTCAAATTATCTTATGGCATCGATCAATCCTGATTTGAGTATACAACCCACAGTAGAAGGTCAAAACCATCAGATTGTTTTATGATGTTTTAGCAGAACTGTAAATCGGCAAGGACACGGCCGAAACCATCAAATATACGAATAAGTACCAAGCTAATTGTGCAACTAACGATCTTAATGGTAGATTATACATTTAGTGCGGGTAAAGTCTAACGGACTGTTTGGAATTCGGAGATTCAGTTTATCCTTTTCTCTTCCTCCCTATGTCGTTTATCCATTCTTCCACCGTAGACTATTCTAAGTTACTTTCGTTTTGGTGATTTCCTTTTTCCTAGGCGTTCTTGGAGTTGATTTGGGCTTATTAGCAGATGAGGCTTTAGTTCTCAGTCTAGCAGCCTCGGGTTTAGCGTCAAGAATTTTCCTCTCAGCCACTTTGAAGCTACCAGATGCACCCTTATCTTTGTTCCTAACTCGTACAAAAGCACTTCTTTCAGCACAGTGTACACTACCGCGGGGAATGTCTACTGCTTGTTTCTCAACAATAAACCAATAGTCTCAGGCAATGTATTACTTGGTGGTAGCAAATGAGCTGCCCTTGCGATTTTTAGCTGCCGAAATTACTTCTGTAATCATAATGATTACCGGCGTGTGACTGGCCGGTACCTTAGACAACTTACATTTGCTAGATTTTAACAGTTTATCGGACAGAAACAGACGTATCGTAAACACCGAAGGTTAGCTTAAAAATGCTAAGCTTCCATCGCCTTGCATTTATTTAGGAGTGCGTGCTTGAGTAGCGACCCGTGCTTGACAATAATACTGATAGGTACGTACTATTTTTTGTTTGTTCATAGTTACATAGCACTACCTAAACGCTACGAATGCAGAGTTACACATTGCAGTCAATCGGTATAATAACTAATATAGGAGATCTATTTGAGTCTGTACAACCCAACAGCGTGGTAAAAGTTCTTTGAGCGGATAGAATTCACTGTACGACATACCACAGCAGGTAGTTGGCCTGACGAAATGTATATACTGATAGTCAATATGTCTTGATGAGATGTGAATTCTATTCGATAAATACAACTTTTGCCCACGGTAATCATAGAATTATAAAAAACTAGAGAAAATTTACTCACAATGATCCATGCGTTAGTATTGCACCGAATACAGTCTTCAAAATATTTTCCGTAATGGCATCGCGTCCACGCCACATACCAGATCCAAGCTTGACATAATTGTATTAGAGTTCCGTTCATGCAATGCAACATTTCAGGTTTATAGTTGTTATAAAGTATATTTGTAGAGAGTTTGTTGCGAACCATGACCTTGGGAGAGCGCTTACGTAAAATTTGCTTCAAACGTCAGAAGTTCCATAGCTGGGCCCTCAGAGCAGGATTGTTAACTTTATGCTTGTTCTTTCACTTAGCCTGCTAATGCAGATCCAATTGGAAATCAACCCATACGGACTTGATAATTTAGACCAAAAACTAATACTTATTTGAAATTTCTACAATATTGATTATCCTTAGTGTTTCTAAACACAAAATACTTGTACTACCAATAAGTTGAGTTATTAACCAACGACCATTACTACGCATCTTACTGTGACTTATTCAAATATTTCTGCACGAAGTCATTCCTAATTGTTATAAACCCGCTTTCTTTAACTCCTAAATAATATTCATGTAGATTTTCATCTTGCGCGTGTTAAGAATGAAACCGAACATTTTGAAATTAATCCATGTATCTCACGATCAGTTGCTGCTGCCTTCTTTTTGGTTTATCTTTAAGCTTATCAATACCCGAAGGTTTCTTATTATTTGTGGCAACGTCCGGCGCGCGGCAATCCCACTCATTTCGGTATCGGATCAACGTCAAGTCATTAATAATGTTGAAGCGGTAAAGTAAAATCAGTATATGGATAAGAAGTACTGTAAGTACTATAAGTTCGATAAATATGCAGAAGTTAGAGATATGGCTATTATTATTTTTCACAAATACCTTATGGGTACATAAGTGCTGTGAAGAAACCATTTTGGGTTTCTTCAAAAATGCAATAATACACAATTTCCAATAATGTTAGCATTACATATGCCATGTTTGAGAAAGGAAGGAAAAGGAAAATAAAATATTTATAATAGAATAGTAATAATAATAGTAATAATAAATCAGGTTCCGCGTAATTGGCAAGATAATAATGATAATAAAACAATAATAATAATAACTACTAAGAAATAACAATGAATGTCGGAAGACTGTCATAACGTTATACTATTCAGTTAGAAAACCCATAGCATTAAAGCCATAACAGAACGTGGAGTTTAGTTCGTTGTTATTGTTAGTAAAACCCTGAAATGACGTTCTGCCGGAGTGTTTGAAATGCATAAGCCTTTGATTCCTACGACTTCTTAGCACACTTTTTTGTTTATGTGTGTTATCCTGAGAGATACTTTTAAAGGTTAAACGAAGCCAGGATTGATGAGATTTGCAAAACTATGCCTCTTTTGTTTCTTATTTTCATCCGCAGGCAATTCCAAATAACTTTACAAAATGCGTTTGGCAAGTTTTAATTTGCAATACACCCTGCAGCAGCATGTACAGACTAACGTAGCTCAAATGGAAAATTTAAACCGTATACATTCAGGGGTCAGGAAGCAAGCAACGAAGATGATGAGAAGCCCCACGTAACATTGTTTTTCTCAAGGACTTTGAAATTCGGTTATTCAGGGTTCCCACTGCAACGTTTCTCTTAAATTGATGTTCATTCAGTTTTGTGGAACTGTGGCGGTATCGGTCCTAACCACACAATCCTCAAAGCTGAACCTGAGATAACTGAGGAAACAGGTATTTAGCATTTAATACGGAGAAAATGCCATCGGTATTGAACGCGGGAACATTCATTCGAGAACCAGTGGGATGGCATGGCTCAGGCCTGAAGATGTGGTCATTCCTGTGAAACATATCACTTTCATTCAGCCTAAATATGTCCTCTACAAACACCAAACATATTTCGATAGTTACGATGCGACGAGGTAGTGTAGACAATGATGGGACTTCCACGCAAGATCTTATAGACTAGGTTTTTACATCGTGACAAATCTATAATTTCAGGATTAGGTCTTCTAACAGAGCAGTACTTATAACAAAGTAGACCATAATTCTAAAGAACTATGCGACCTTCTGATGGATAAGATGTCAAAAATTGATGTGCCGTTCTGTTTTTCAGGCTCTTCGAGAATCTAGTGACTGGAAGTGAGTTAATAGTGTGCACACGAGCTTATATTGTTTGACTGCCTTCTTCAATATGATTAAGAGGTCGCTTTTATAACATCGGTGGTTGTCAAGCTAATGTACCACGTCATACATGGACTGTCATTTTGTTTCTCTTGTCGGCTTGAAAGTAGTCAACGGTGTCTGCGGTATCAAATGCTGAATGTGAGATATATATTTACTGAGTATCAAAGTAGAAAGTTGCTCATTTTTTCTGATGATATGAACGTGTTTGTTTCCTTTCTGGTTGTAGTATGTAGATGACAGTGCACATACTCGCATTATTCTTAACTATCAACATTTTCAGAAAATTTTATACGCCAACCTTACATCTCTCATCATTTCCACAAACCTACTTGTGAGAAAACATCTTACGTACTTGAGTCCCATTCAGTAGAGTATGGAATTTCATGCAGTATTTGTGCTTTCGGTTTCGTAATATCCATAGTTCGAAATCCAGTAAAGAAGACTTTGATCTCCTCTGAAAAACATGACTGAATATGTCCAAATGACTAGCATAATCGGTAAAAACATAAAAGCATAAATATAGACCCTGAAATTTCTGTCTTTAAGAGATGTCATCGTGTTAATTTGGGAAATAAACAATAATAAACCATCGAAATGCCTCAAACGGTTCCAGTGGTTGTAGAGAGAATAGAAGAGACTTTCGCTTAACGAGCTTCCGTGGGGA